CCTCGGGCTGAATATTGTGATAATTTGTAACTAGAGACGGTGATATATTTAAACTTGGTGTTCTACAATACTGAACAGTTGTGTATAATTTTGATGTTGGAAAATTATGAGAATGCTGTATGTGAAATCGACAGTCAATTGATTATGGAAACTTTTGAATAAATAAAATAAATGACAGCGTAGATAAGTGGTAACTTTATAAGTAGATTTATTTCCGTTTTCTCGCTTGTTAACTTATGCATAACTAAGAGGTTCTTAGACTCATACGTATACAAGGCATGCTTTTCTATTTCGTTAGTGTGTTCCCGCTACCTTAAAACCATAAAAATGTTTGATCTTAACATGTTCTCACAACCACTTCAACATGGAGTAAGTACTTAAACAAAACTGCAAGAAAATACCAACCTGTCATCATAATTAAAATCCAAACTAAAATTCAATACAACCTAGGCAAAATATGAGCAAAAGAAAGATTTACACGGAAATTCGTGAAAAATATACAAGGAGAATATGACCACGTGTTTCGGAACTGTAAGCATCTTTTACTTCATCGACAACACCCTCCATGTAAAACTTGGTCAATCTAAGTTAGATATGTAACGTTCCTGATTGAGAACAAAGTATACAACGTACATTTATCAATCGGTTTTAGAAATTTTTTTATTGTCCTAACTGATAAAGATATGGCGTCAATTAGTGTTGTATAGTTCATGGATGTTGAATGAGTTGTATGAAAATCAATGGAAATACAATATGAAAATACGATGATAACATTGTGAAAAGGGCACATAGTTTTATATCACTTTTCAATACAATTTTTGAATTAGACAGTTGTGCCAGGTAATAAATTAAGTTAATCATATTGCTGTTCATAGGATTGGTCATTGATGCTGTTAAATACTTGGAGGTCATTGAGAAAAAAAAATCATCGAAAGAATATCAGAATCTAGATGGAAAGTGCGCTAGCCACATGTTTCGATGAAATGTCAAATTCTTGATGAAAGGATAGGTCTTTATTCGTTGTTATCTCTTAACTAGCTAGCTATATCAATTGTTGATAATTTTCCAGTGGCGGCGATATCCTTGCATTTAGGAATATACTTAATGGTCCAAATTGTTAAACAATAACTTCCATTTCAATATGCCTACAACATGGAAATAAACAATATCAATTAGCACTTGTTTCTAGATTCATTTGTTAATTCCTGTACGGTCAATTGCTTCAGATTCTTTGGTTCCAATATTTATCACTATTTGGTTATATAACTTCGTCACTAACGAAATGCGCATTAAAATTCGTAGTTCTTCTAACAATTAATATTGTGTTGATCTGTTTATTTACTGATTTACGTTGTCCTAACAATAAGTAAATATATCTTTCAGTGAAGTAACTTCCATTAGGATATCATATCTAACTTGCTAGAACATTATGCTAACGAATAAGAATAGTAATAACAATTTATACTAAACGCGAACAGTAGTCATGGCCTAGTTTTTGACCAAGAGTACAAGAATTTGTCAAAGTCACTATGTCCATGTTTAATAATCCATCCCAACAAGCAAATATTGTCGTATATATACAATGTGAGTTGTTTAGAAGTGGCAACAAACTAAAGGAAACAAAATACTGTATTATCTTATCTTCAACCTCCACGTAAGCTTTCCGTATCATTAACCAAGGAAGATTAATTGTGGTCTGACAATTATAAACAACTTGAGAGGTGTGAGCCTGTATGTTTTTTACAATTACAATTTTTCTTAATATACAATATTTCACTGTACAATATTGTTGTAAAATAAATAAAGTTTATATACAAAGATTTTCCTTGTTTCGCAATTGTTGTAAAATAAATAAAGTTTATATATAAAGATTTTCCATTAAAGATGAATTCGCTAAAGTCGCATTTAAAACTACTTCGTCTTAATGACCGGCGTGTTTATATGTAAATTATCCATACATATGGACGTCACATTGTTAATGTTGTTTCTTCCGTATACATCACGAATGGTCACCGATAGCCTGGATGACCAAAATCAAAAGTTGGATTTAATGAAAAATACAGCATATATATATATATTTTTCCTTGAGAACATGTAATATTTTCTGGCAATATGAAGCGCGATCTATAAACACTATTTGTCTATGGCATAACTTAAGAATGAATGGCGCTTTTGCTTATTCTAAGAGTAAAAGGGAAAAGTTGATCTTGAGACAAATTAAATGAACTGGGCAAACATCTTTGTTCAATATCGTTATCCAACTTTCAGTTACAGCGATGCTTACAGCCTAAATTTGGAAGCTTATGAGGCAAATGACGAAAATAAGAAAATGAAAAGAATATATCAGATATGCGTGTTAAATGACGTAAAACAAATAGATTAAAAAGTAATCAGATATGGAAAATTCGAGAATGTACAGTGTAGATTCAGATGCAATATCCAAAACAAAGAAGAGAGACAAAACAACTTATTAAGAAGTCAATTGTGCAGAGTGAATTGGAATTAAATTTCTTACCATTGATAAATTGATCACGGTATACTTAAGTGGTTTTTTTCTCTCATAAAAATCAAAGAACCATATACTTCCAAACCCATTAAGCCCGCGGGTACATGCAATCATCATTGTCGTTTACCTATGTGCGTGACAGATCTACCTGTATTTTTCGGTATATCTTATATATTGTTATGTCATAAATATCATTGTTCGTCCCGGCCATCCCTACCTCCTTCTATTGTATTACCTCATGTTATTAGTTAATAATACATGAGCATTACGTACGTGAGGCACATTCATCTAAAAGGTAATAAGTTTCAGCGACATCAATGAGTTGATCCATTGTCATATCATTACTTACAGCGTTAATCGCCAGTCACAAAAGCCAATGCCAAGCATTTGTGTGACATGTTTACCCCAAGGCACCTAACCGTCTAGACAACCTAAGAAAGGCTATCACAACTATTATCCAATATACTGCAATTTATGCCTCTATCGAAATGTATATGAAAGAGACAAATTAGTCCTTTGTTTTACAGTTACGATATATTTTTTTTCAATTTTATTCATTATGACTTCTTTTATTATACGTGAAAATAAAGATTAAATGCATTAAAAATACAATTTACGAGCGAAGTTTGTGTTTCTTGGTTTTTTCTATCATGTTTGAGTTTTAGATTTTTCCCATGTTGTATCTTATTGTTTAAGTGTGTAGGCCTTATATATATACTTTAGAAGAGAACGATATCTTTCTGAAGCATTTAATTCTATTTCACTTATTTTTTCTCATTTCGCTATCAAATCAAATATTTCTTCAGTTGATAATTATTATTTACACTGATTATTAATGATAATATAACTTTTTGTAATCTTTCCTTTCCTTTTCTCTTAATTTTTTTCATTTTTTCTACCATTAATGATGGAACATAGAATGTACCTATCATGTGTAGGACTTACCTTCGTTGTCGATCAACTTTAACAGATCATTAACTGTATAAGTCCTGCTGGCGGATGTTTAGCATTGGACTAATTTGTCCTTTGATTATGTTTAGTGATCAAATTGCATTTTCGATTATGAATGGCGGTATTGAAAATAACCGACGATAGGGCACATACGTAGTAAAGAAAAAAGGCATATATACATAAAAAAAACTTAGTCTGTTTATCGCTTTATTCTTTTTTTCTGAACAAAACTGTAAAATTGCTTCTGTGACTGAACAATTGGTTCCTAAAATGCAAAGAAATACAAATTAATTACAATATCTATTTTGTTGCTTTATAAGCCAATGATCACAATCATATGTCGCAAATAGTAACAATACAACCTTTGCACACATCAAAGTCCGTTCTTCTATTGAAATCTATATCGAGTCGTCTTGTTACTATTTATATTTTATTTATACTTGTATCATTACAAGAATAAATAATAAACAAACCATATAATGTTATATATTTCTTTGAACTGCCTACGAACCGAAGTAATTTTGGCACATAACAACAACAAATGTTTGTGTCAAACGCTTATGATAAAGCTCTGATATTACCGTTTAACTACAGCATTGGTGACGTTTATTACCAGTGTGTTGTTCTTTATAATAGCTAAAATTCCGTATTTATATCAATGTCCGCTGGCTAAAGATACGATTTAAAAAATGCGGTGATGTAATTTCCTCTTCAGTACACTTTCTAGGAAAAACCTTTTAAACTTGCTAACCGCATGCAATGTGTTCCTATATTACATACAATTTTCACCTGAGACATTTCATCCTGCGTATAAAAAGTAAAATCTAGAAAGATAAATGTATATTTATTCAAATGACAGAGAAAGAAAGTTAAGATGTATTTATCGATTTCTTAAAAAAATTGTAAATGATGTATCGTTAATAGTTTACTTTATGTTTAATGTATATACTAAATATACTGATATACTACAATGCATTGTTAGAACTAAAGAATAAAATCCTTGATAAATAGAAAAAATTACATAATAGAACGTTTTGCTCTGGTAAATAGGTCTGGTTAAGTGAACAGTTAATTTGTATACAATATTTTCGTCATAAGGTTCAGAGTTCATGGTCTTGTCATGTTTGTTTGTTGTTGTAACAATACTGGAATGTTTCATTATCACGATTTTTTTCCACATTTTTTCATTAAATATCACGTTATAGATAAATCAGAGATATGTAGATACTGTTACAGAGTTGCACCATACGTTTGGGAAATATTTGTCGCAGATGCCAACGTGGGCTAATTGCTATGACATGTCATATAGTTTTACGGAATGACTGTGATGTTGGCAGGGTCACGAAGTTTGTTGTAGCCGCGGGCATAGCACAGAACATGCCCATCTAAAGACACAAAGCGAAATATAGTCACGTGAGAGGCACCATTAATAACATAAGTTCTTCATTGTCTCGAGCTCATTTGCATATTGGAGTGCCTTTGCATTTATAGGGCGACTCGATGTGCAGAAAGGACAGACTGCCAAGCAACAGCTAACTATCCACTAGTCTTCCGAATCACATTGGTAAATTAACCTCTTGGATTAGGCTGCTAGTTCTCATCAAAGGTTGGTACATTTTCTATTTCACAGAACATTCAGGAACATTTTACTGTGTTCTCATCTCAAGGATTTCTATTTTTGTGCAATTATTGTATATTTTGCTTAGTTAAGTGTCAAAACCTTGTTTTTACACAGAATAGGGAATATTCTATACGCTTATCTACGTTACGTTGTAGTGTTTCTTCCTTTTGAGAGAAGCGGAACTCTTATTGCTCAGCATTTAGAAAACATGCTTAGACATAGATACTAGTTTGATATATATAAATATCTAGAAATTAAGAATATGGTTTCAAAGAGATATTATTGTGCGCAATGTCTTTTTTTCATTAGTATATTTTGATATATATACGAAATCGTACCGTATATAAAATCTATATCTATCTTTATCTAAAAGTAAAATAATTCTAGTTGTTTCCATAACTATATTTGTATCCAAATCGAATAGAAAAGAGATGTTGAACATCTCAATTGTTTTGTGGGCTAGATTAGAAAGGAAATCGTTTATTTTTTATGTATAATTACACTTATAAGTAAAATATAGGCAACCAGAAGAATTTTAGTATATGAATAGGATTATTCATTTGCATACCAAGAATACTTTTTTTCTTCATGTCGTATCAAGTACAGAACATAAATTTGAATATGAACTAATAGATTATCTGTATCATTACGTTCAGGAAATTTAATACTATCCGATGAAACAAGGAATTACGAGGTCTTTTTTCTGAACGCTTGTTCGTGTACAGAAAATATTGGTTTTTTTTTCATTTTATAGTGCTATATAGCGCAATATATATATTACTTTTGTGTTTTACAAACAAAATGCAATATGAATACGATAGCTGATAAACAACTGAGTTAATAAGATAAAACTATGTAATACTAACGTCAGAGGTTCTAGAGTATTTCATATTTAATATTATATATCTTTTACATAATATCACAATATTATAATCATAATATGTTCATTTCATTAAAAATGAACTAGCATATAATAGAGTGTTCTGTTCAATATATATATAAATACCTTATTGGCTTTTTTCTCTGCTTAGAGAATATCGAACAGGCAAATTCTGTTTAATTTCTTGAAACTGTTCCTCAACGGCTAATATATAACACAGTTAAAGGTGCATATTTTCGGTTTTTTGCAACATATGATACTGATATTTACACTTATTTATTATTTATCTAACGCAAAGGAGATTTACTTCTTTAACAATTAGAAGTTTTCGTGTTTAAGTTGTTAATGATTGCGATAGGGTAGATATTGGGAAATTGTGTTACCAATTCGACAATTGTTTGACGTTCTTGATTTCATCAATGCATATATTGATATCGATTCTGATGTTTATCTTTCTTCTCTTCCAGAACCAATAAACAACATGAATTCATACATCGCCCTCGCTCTCGTGCTTTGCATAGCTGTTGCTCAAGTACAGTCACAAGGTAGGTGTCGCTGAGCATGCGTATTGCTCACTTTATAAATGGGCGTGGTCTAACAATTGTAAAGCATGCGTATTTCTAGCCTAAAATATAGCTAGCATAGCTCATTGATATATTCGCTAATACTTTAGCAGAAACAATATTCTATCAATCTATATGTAATCAATGCATGCAATGAAGCTATTTTATAAGTTTTCATCTACAACATAGTACAAATTTAGGAAGAATTACGATAAATGTTTATTACATCTGAGTAAACAAGAGAATATACATCTGTTTTATACCCAATTCTTCAGAGAAAAGTATCAGGAACTGCATTAATTGCACCTGTTTTTGTCTGCTCATATCGTTTGAGTGATAAAGGCAGACAGAGCGAGCCCACATTTGGTGCAGAGGTCTGCTGCATATACATGGATATTTCTCTTACCTGTAAAAGTGTTGCATTCTGGGACGGCAAGCAGATTGACAGTGGTAGTTGACAGGCGATAAAGCTACTCGGACAGCGCTGACAACGGTTACAATTCCTCTCTTCATTAATGAGCACGGTGCCTCTTAATCTGTCAACTTGACTGACGGACATCAGTATCCCAGGGTCTATTTAGGTCATTCTATTCTGGTAGATTTGGCCGGAGGGAAGATTCGTGAGCAGTGTTCCTCAGATATCACTTTTCGATGAGAAATCTACAGAAAATAGTTGTTCCAGTTATCAGCTATGTTAAAATAAGTTTTCTAGATAGAAAAAATTCTAACCTTAGAAGTTTAGTTTAATTTGGTAGGAAATAGATGTATAATGCCAACCAAAATATCTTAACCACTTTTAAAAATTTAAAATCGATACATTAGTCTAGAAAAATTGTTACACATTTAATCAATAGATTTAATCAAAACGTATTTTAGTAAGGAAAATAGAATAGAAACAATAGATTAGTCTTTAGATACAATTTTATCCAAAACATTTTTAGTCAGAAAAAATAGAGTTAAAATGAATAGATTAGTTTTTAGATAGATTTCATTCAATAGAGGAATTTCATATTGTCAAAAGTCATAATTTGGAAAACGTTTTCTACAATACAATAAGCTTAATTCAATAGTTCATGTTAATTGATCAATGTTTCGAAACGTGAAAATAATATTATCAAATAACTTTAATCACAGTTAAGATATTTTTATATTTTAAACGATTATTTGATTTATTTTAACTAAACGTAGTAAGCAAATGTTAACTAAAACGAAGGTGTAAAAATAAATTCAAATTCTAATTGATAAACCAGTGAGCTTAGCTAAATAACGAAATGATAAAATGTAATACATAGTTTGTCCTGGGTGATTTTCAGGAAGCGTGGCTGTGCCTCGAAGATATGCATCTGCAACTTTGTCGGCCGCGCGTAGTCGGGTTCAAGGGTCATCTTCCAGGTTTCCAATTGTGATATTGGGCAATGATAATTGGTTGGAGATGATGATGTACCTTCAACTGCTTAGAGGGTCACAACAAATAGCCTATGGTGGCATCAACATTGCAGACCTGCTTCTCTTTGACACAATAGGGGAACTATGAAACCGTGCGCAATATTATCGCCTGTTAACCTGTCATGCTCGCTGTATCTATTTATACAAAATTTGTTCCAGTTTGCAGTTAATGTTTTTTCATTTATAAATTGAAATTCTTTATCCATGGATGGAAATATTTCAGATGTATAAAACTCTTAACAGTTGTAATGATACAGAAAAAAATCTTTTACGCATACTCAGTAAAATTTTTGTTAGTGCATGATAATTACACTACCCATTGTATATACGATCTTGCATGATCTTTCAGCCGATATGAAATTTATAAAACGAGAACTGTTCCTCTGACCGAGCTGGTTGCGAGATAAGATGGAAAGTTCGTGTTTGTTGAATAACATATCGAAGGGAAACTCTTGTAAGATTCTGTTTATCACATAGTCATTATCTTCTTCAAAACCTTTTTCAAACCAACAAGGTATCAAAAATTGAAATGATTTTGTTGAATTGCTGTGACGTCACAGTGCGTATGATGCAACGACGTCACAGTTGCAACACATATTTATTTAGTTACAGTATGTGGCTTCATAGCGCATTTGTGCTATAGAATGAAGTTTGAGTTATGTGATAAACATGTATACCATGAATAATAACTTATTTGTCATGAATATAAAACGCATATAGTATAGCTTTACAATAACTGTCTATTATATTTATATGCATCAGTATTAACCCCTTCTATGGCACTACTTAGCTTTTTACATTCTTGGCTTGCTAAGAAAATCTACAACTTGAACATACAAGGGACATTGAACTAGGTACACGACAGTCTCCTTTTAGGTCAATTATATTTTCCGTATTCGGAAAATTATGTGTCCAATGAATGAATGATTCCAGGTGCACAGCCTACGACTGGAGGCGCATCCACAGCTAGATCGTCAGCCGCCTCCGCAGGTTTTCTGGGACGTGGTATGTTACCACTTATGGCAGCTGGCTCCGGAAATGACATGATGCAGAACTTATTCCTTTTCCGCATGCTGTCCCAGGGTCGCCGTGCAGGTGGTGCCATGGGTGGTTTGGAGCCACTTCTCATGAGCAACCTTCTTGGATTGGAACTCTTCGGAATGTAGACGTTACAATGAATTTCGCCCGATTTATAGACAATCCTGCAACTGGTGACAGATCTATGTACATCTTCTCGCGTAAATGACAATCATCCAATCGTGCATCATGAAAAACAAGGAAAAGTGATCCGTTTTATGTATCTCGTTCACTTGTCTGTCCATAGCATTCCTGATCACATAGTATTTATTTTCATGTGAAATATGTCCGTCATTGAGATTCATTGTTAATGTTAAATAAATGCCTTTTGTATCTAACATTTGATGTTTGCTTGCTTTGTAACTGTGCATCCTGTTGCCTGCTTGTACTCTTAAACATATATCTATGTTTTAGCTGAGCAAATCATATACTAACATTTATCAAAATCATTAGAGTAGTAATATATGTGCTTTAGATTTATATACAAACACAATCTGACACAATCTTCCATATCGAATCGTCATGGTTTTCTTAACAATCTTTATTTCATGTTTCTAAATTGCAAAAAATCCTTAAAATGCGTATAACAACATAACATGACTTATCAAAAATTCATTTAAAAATACTTAATCATTAAAAGTCAAACGAGGCTCCCTAGATTTTGGGAAAAAAGTACACACCTGGAAGTATCCATGAAATGAAAAAAACTGCATGTACAAAGAAAAAAAATAGTTGTTGTAGACAAATATACTAATATCTAACTTGTAGTAAACGAAAACAACTGTTTTCACTATTAATAAGTATTGATTTACTCAAAAAACATACTGAGAATTTATATATATTAAATTTTCCTTGAACTAATCTTTAATATGCAATAACGTCGTATCAAGAAAAGAGGAATTTGAAGTTGAATTAATGACAAAAAGTTTGAACAATCAACATTTTGAGTAACAGAAGTTTGTGTTGGAAATGTAATAGAAAGAGAATAATGATTTAAATGTTTTTATAAACGATAATCACGGCTACACTACCTCACAAAAGAACAAATGTTATTGATATTTTTGTACTAGATTTAACATATATAAACCAAAAGAAAACAAAATTAATTTATGAAATGAAAAAGAAAAAGTCTACACCAGTTGATACCGAACATGGAACAAATCACAATATGAGTCATTTAAAACATCGTCCATCTGCTTTGCCATGCCTACGTAATTGATGTATGTGTTTGAAAGTCAATGTTTTGCTCTGCTTATGCATATATCTATACATATAACTCTGTATCCTGCAGCCTCACGATCCGGCACAGCATCACCTGGCAGAGCAGGCCAAAATGCCGCACTCATGGCTGCACTGTCCAGCATGGGCAGTAGGGGTGGAGGTTTAAGCCAAACACTCCCACTGATGGCTATGATGAATGGAAATGACAACATGAGGAACATGCTTTTATACAACCTTCTATTGAGAGGAGGAAGTGGTCGCGGCAGCATGGGTTCTCTTGGAAATTTGATGATGTTTAGCGCCATGGGGGAAGGATTTATGTAAACGATTAAATTTCAGTTAATAGAGTCGACACCACGTGCTTTACTCATTAACAGCATATACAAACATTTCCTTTTTCAGCTCGTATGTATATCGTATGTATATATTTCCTGTACATGTATGTGATTGTGCTGTCATAATAAAATGTTTAAAGTGTAATCCCGTCCTATGTTATGCTTTTTCTTTGCTTTTATTGTATGCTTGCTTGCTTCAAACGTTTCATTTGCTTTGCTTTTCTAGTACCTTCAGTTTGTACTCCTATGACAACTAAAAGAATACACATTACTTGAGTATAAACATTACAAATTTGAACGGACAATATGGAATTACGAACACATCTGTACTGTTGAAGTTATCGACATCCATTAAATGGGCTAGTTAATCTCCCCATCTAGACCCCTCTTTCCATGATTATCCTTGGTCAACTTCTCGGTTTCAAAATTAGGCCATTTCAATAAATAATGAGTCGTAGAAGGATGAAAAAAGCTACATTATGCAATTCAAGTAATAATTTGACCCTACAGCGTCTAATATGTACTGAATGGTGGTATACACTTGTGTGTTTTTGTATATACTTAGAACATTCAACAGAAACCTTCTGCTCCCAAATGTATCTGGTCAAACAGCATATTATTTATTCTGTTAATAATGTATACTCAAATTCATGTGATCCGTGTTCAATGTTTCTTTTTTGTTTTGCTTTGTTTTTGCACATATATTAACCGCCTTTTCTTGTCAGCTTGTATCGTAATTTTAAATATCTTAAGAATTTCATCTTTTTGGAAATACAAATGGAAGATCGTAATCTCAATGCAGATCAAATTTGACACGTGAATGTGACATTGTCAAACATACAGAACTTAGATTTTACGGAAGGTAGATGGAGTGAAACGTTTTCAAACCAGACAATAACCGGC